CAGATAAGGCCCTAAAAATTTATTGTATGATTTTTCTTTCTTTCTTTCTTTTCTTTTCTTTTTTTTTTTTTTTTTTTTTTTTTTTTTTTTTTTTTGCCTTTTTAGAGACAGAAACAGAATACTAAAAAGCAATACCAAATTGAGTGTCTTCAAATTGAGGGTTTTAGCATGACCAGATACTATTAACATCATGTTTCACATAAAGATTTTCTTCCAAATTCCTGTATGTATTGTTATGCCAGGCCCTCGGATGGCCATGTTGTATGCCTAAGATACTTTTTCTCTGTTTTCTCAAACAGGTACTATTCATTTGTGAAATCTCAGCAATATATCCTCTCAGGGGACCTTTGCTAGCTCTGCAGATTTTGCTATATGGCCCTGTTTTATGGTCTTATTGAATGTCATAATTTTCTTTTATATTGTATGAATCTAATTAAAGGGTTAGTCATGCAATTATTAGTTTAATGCTCTGCTCTCTTGTTGAACTATAAGCTCCATTTGTTCAGGGACCATGTCTGTCTTACATTTCAATGCATCTTTTATTTTTCAGAGTAAGCACTTTAAAAAATAATTCTGACCAAATGAACAATTTGTGTATGAGAGAGAATGATGTGTCTGAACACAATTACAAGTTTGAAACCAATATTCCAGTTAAAAACTAAAACTAAACCCACATTATTTGGTGCCAAACTGTACTTTTAACTGGTCAGAAAAATCACATAATACCTCCTGAGCTAGTCTTAGCCTAATGGGTGAAATCCTCAGCACAAGGTTTTGAATTTTCTATGGAGAAAAAGGTACTGAGGTTGTGAAAACCTTCGTAGAAACAAAATGCACACAAACTCCTTCTGTAAACCTGAGCACACTTGACACCACATGAGGCACATTTGAGAGATAGGATTCCCCATAATTGCCAGGAGAAAGACTCAGAAGCAGAGTCATGTGATGGTGGAAACAGCATTGCTCAAGAAGGAAGACAAACATGCCATATAGAATACATGTTATGGTTCACTAAACCTCTGGGAACCACAAGACTATGAAAGTCTGACTAAAAACAAGGAGGAAAAAAACAGGTCATATTTAATAACCATGTATGTAACACTTATTTTGACAATATAAAATAACAGAATGAGAACAATTAAAAAATTGGAATCATAAAATTCAAGTGAGGCATTTTGAATTTAAATATATGGAAAGTTTATGATACTTCCAGTTTTCCTTTAAAAAAAAAAATCTTTGCAGTATACTTGGAGGGACAAGGAGAAACTAGATAATGTAACAAAAAATTCAAGCAAAATAACTGAATCAAGATAATGTTCTTTTAAAACATTACGCCATTCATTTTTTTCCTCCATTGCTCCCTTTTCATGGTATCAAATGGCACATAATCAGACATTTGCGATTCCCTGCATGACATCTTCCCCTTTCTATCTCTGTGTCCCCTGTGGGGTCTAGCTAATCACAGGTAGATTTCCTCTGGAAGGCAGTCACACACTGTACTATGAAAGGCCCAATTAATAATTGAACAAAGCTATCTCAATTTTCACCATCACGTGACAATGATTTGCAGGCAGCTCCACTGTCACACAGAGAGCAAGTTTCCGAGAAAGGTGGCACTGGATTGGCTGAAAGATCACCCTTTTCTAAATTGTCAACGAAATACACCCCCCCACACACACACAGCCTAATTTGTTCTATAAAAGAGTAGACAAATTAAGTTCTCTTACCTGCCACTAGGAACATGATGATTTTGGTCAAATGATTATTTGGTTATTATTTGCTTTTGTGTGAGAGATGAAAGAGTGAGCTTGGAAAGTGATGCCCATTGTAAGGGAAGGAGTGGCCTGATGCTGAATATGCAAGTGCATCAAGGAGTTGTTCTGAGTATGTTAGCATATAATTTGGTAAGAGAGAAAGTCTGCACATACAACTATAAACAATCAAAGAAGAAATCTGACACGGATACATTCAAATCCTATTTTCTATATGTAAGTTTAATAAATCTTTGTTTATGTCTCTGGCTATGGCCTTAAGCAGAGGTGTATACATTTTGATCTAAGAGGGAAAATCAGCATATTTTAAGCTTTGTGAGCTAAGTACTTTCCTCGCTGTTATCAAAATATGTGATTTTTAGATCAAAGGCAGCCGGGGATCAAATGCAAATAATTCAGCAAAACCTTATGTATCTGTATTCAAGTTTGAAGTTTATATATTTATTCTGTATTTAAATTAATAATTCTGTTGATTATTGGCAATTATTCAGGAAGTTTTTAAGCACTGTGGCTTTCAGGCAGTGAACATGAATGGGGCAGATAGAACTGGGGCAGATAGAACAGTTGACCCCTGGCATTGAGTACTGAGAACCATTATGAGTTCACCAGATTTTTGTAGTTGGTTTGGAAGTCTCTAGTGGTCTTGAGAGTACATGAAAATACTGTCTTTACTATGCAAGATGTCACTGGATCTCCATTCTTTGCTTTACTTGAATCATCACAGAAACTATCACACTATTCAGTGTTCAAGACAGATGTTTATTACTGCACAGAACTTTACATGGTTTAGTCATGTAGATACGAGTATGCTAACAAACTGGCGAAGATCATGAAGATTTGGTTCTGTCTCAGAATCTTTCTAAATTTGAAGAATAAAATGAAGTATTTGGAGGCTCTAGGGAACAATTTTATTTTTCTCAGAAAATTCTATTTACTATTCAAAATTGTACATGAAGAATGTCCTTTAATTATAAGGCTCCTTATCGATCATAGCAGGAATATAAATTCCTTCCTTAAATCTATATTTTTCACTTTTTAATCTGCCACCTTGTATCTTGAATGACATTAAAAGATAAATAAAATATGTGTATAAGTTTAAATTTAATTAAAATAGGTGAGAAAAATTAAAAATAAGGGTATGGAAACAGAAGTATGGTTTGTTGTTATATGAATTTAAGACCATAAAAGCCTAAGTGGAGCATTTAAAATCAATTTTATTAATTTTCAGTTTTTATATAATAATTTATGACCTTAACAGATTGGTCATAAATTGGTCAGTAAGTCTACCAAAAGTCAATACAATGAAGGCCCATGATAATTTATCTTTTAATTTATATAAGATGTCTGGGTTTATTGGCAAGAAACAAACCACTGCTTTGGAAAAGACAGAGAAAATATTTTATTGAAAATATAGAGGGAAATTGCTGAAAGAGACCTTTTAGAGTGAAATTATGGGAGGAATTAAATAAATTTTCAATGACATGATAGCAAACACAATGGTTTTAGATGTTGACTTTGTCAAAATATTTACATACAGGACAATATTTGAATTCTGAATCATCAGTAGGCAAAACAGCAATGTTATCCTTGGGATCAGGTAGTAGAGTAGCTTTGTGTTTACTGTGAGGCTTCCAGGAAATAAGGAGTCTGAAGAATTAATTTTTTTTCTAGATAAAGATATGTGACATTTATAAGGCCATGCCTCGGATGACCATCCATGTGTTCCTGCTATATGAGATGCAAAATGAGTTTGTAAGTAAATACGTTTGGTATTGATTCCCCTAAATAATTACCTCATGTGATTCTTTTATATAATATTAATAAATGATGTGATGCATACATAAATAAGCATGGGTGTGGAGTAACATTTTCTTAACAGAATAGAGGTCTCTAATAAAAAACTTTTGCCTAATTAGAAGAGCAATATTGACCCAAACTTTGCCTGGAAATTAATTTGCACTATGACAGACCCCCCCCATTATCTTACCACAAAAGTAAAGAAATATTTAGAAACACTATGATCAAATATCACCTTGATATCAGGATGTCTATCATTGTATACCTAGTCTTATGTGTGTTTGTTGGTATTCATTTCAAAGCCAGTTACCTTGAAAATTAAACATCTATATACTTTTATAGAGAAATTATATGGGGCTATGAGACATAAGCTAATTAAAACTCAGATTATATACTAACATAAGTGATTTTCTAAGAATAATCTATTTATAATTGATTTACAATTGACTTGGTAGACCTTAATTTGTAATATTCAAATAGAAGGTACCATTATATATAGATTGTGAAGACATAGTTTTGCATATAAGAAAACATAATTCATATAAGAGGGGAGAATGCAATATATTAATCCTTAACCATCTGGTAAAATGTTTAAATATGTTCACAAACCACTATAGCCTTGGGACCTAGTTAAGGTGAGGGACAGGAAGGGCACAGAAGACATTCTTGAAAAGTCATATCAGGAATTTCACTGAATTGGTGTCATCAGCTGGACCCAATACTTTTAAAGCCTGTTTCTTGTCTGGCATGAAACATCACAGAGTTAGATGACAAGTGGAGGCATTTAGGAATCAGAGAAATTTTTTGTTTTCAATTTCTTCACATAGTGTCACCACAAAGGAGAAAACTGATTTAAAAAGTTTTTAAAAAGTGGTGTACAATAATTTATACAAAACACTTCTGGAAGACACAATTAACAAAATACTGTATGTTTTAGATATATGTTATATTTTTACACTTTATTTTTAAATATGTTATAATTGAAGTATAATTATATCACTTTCTTTCCTCACATTCCTCTATTCATTTCTCTATACCCTCGTGAGCTCAAGTAGATAGTCTCTTTTTGTATTATTATTCCTGTTGCATACGAAATGTGTGTATACACACACACACACACACACACACACACATCTGCATTATTTAAAGTTATTACAGTTGCTTCTTTGAGAGTTAGTCTATTTTGAGTGACAACTTTATGTATTACTATTTATATATTGATTAGGTAGATATTAGATAAGTGATAGATAGATATAGATAAAATATTACTAAGTTACTTAAAATGGTGAACACATTAGCATAAACCATGGAACCCTAAACAATATCTATACTGTATTTTTCTGAGTTTCAATAAAAAGATGCATTTTTCCCTTTTGATGCAGTAGAATCTTAAATATAATGTGGCATCTTAGAACCTAGCCAGTTGCTTACCAGTTGGTGTAAGGTGTCTCCAGGTGATAACAGGTTCAGGGCGGCCATTGGCCATGCAGACCAGGGTTACATTGCTGCCCTCATTCACAGTGACATCTGATGAGATGTTGGAGATCTTTGGTGGAACTGTAGACAGAAGAAAGTGGGATATATAATCATGGCAGTAAAAAGCAAACTGTAGCAGTGATCTATAAAAGTCTCAGACTTTATAACTAAATTTGAAATTTCACACCAAGTAGCCAGGATACTTTTAATTCCCACACTTGCTATTTCCTCTCCAAATCCCTCTAGAGTTCCTAAAACATCTATGAGGTAAAAATTCCATTCACTCTGGCCATTTGAGAGCTGTAGGAAGTACTTAAGATATGTATAATGAAAAAGTGTTAGCTCTTTTCTGGTAAGGCTAGGCTTACTTAAATATTAAAAGATATGCACATTCTTAACAATTTTACAATAAATTTCTGTACCACCATCACTTGAATTTCTTATTTTATGCATAAGAAAGAATATAGTATAGCCTCAAAATGCAAAGGAAAGAATAGTCGATATTTACTGTTAGGTCATAGCATTGTGTTAGTAAGATGTGGTACCCACATATAAAATTCATGAGATAATCAATGCAATAGAAATCTTCTACATATAATTTTCTACAGATGCAATATACTAAATATACATAACAGATTAGATGATGTAAACTAAGTTAATGGGCACTGTGTGAAGTAAATAGACATTATAAACATACTACAGCATTATTTTAACACTTTAATTAAACATGCATATATCTACCATGATGCATAGTGTGCTTAAAAAATATCATTTCTGTCCTTCATGTAATAAAGATCGGGTTTTCTACAAAGATTTTTACCTACAGGTAAGAAACCAAGGCCCAAATGTGAATAAAAGAAACCAGAAAAGGCGTTTGAATCCCAGCAGAGTCTACTCTTAAACACTTCTTGAACAGAATTTCATCTTCACAATTCAGTCAACCAGATGGCTGAAAATGACAGAAATTACTTTTTGGTGATGTGAAAAATGAGTCCCCAAGGGCAAGCAGTACCGCTGCCTGGCTTCCTTCATTAGTGTTCATGGTGGCAACATTAGATCCCACTCTGGTAGGCTTCATTTGGGAGTGTGGGAAGTGAATTACTCACAAATTTCATCACCGAGGCTACACACTGATTACAAATAGCCAGACTTAGGGTTGACTGTGACTCTCCTTTTTTCTTCTCTTTTTAAATGCAGCTGCCTCTGTGGTAAGCCATGAAAGCATATTTTTGAGAGAGGAGGACAAGAAAACATGAAAAAGCTCAATAATGAAAGAATCTTGTTCCTTGTCACTTGTCCTACCCATTACAGACACTGTGTTCCTGCCTGGCAGGGATACCTTCTGCTTAAAGAAACAACTATCTATCATCCTTGAGGAGATATCCATGGTACTTAGGGAAGCAGCATCTGAGTGACTCCGAGTGTCAGAGGAAGAAAGCTGATAGAGGGCCTTGATGGCCTTAGAGTGTTTCTGACAAAGGCATGTTATAGGGCTTCTGTATAGTAAGTGGTGACTTGGAATCAAACCCACTGGCAGTACACTACAGTTGATTTCCATCTTTAGCATTCTCTCATGAGTTTCTATTTGTCCTTTAGCTACTGGGGTTAAGGGGTATTTTCATGGATTCATACAGAAACTTGCAGTATGTTCTCCCAAACACTTGAGGCTAGAACATGGAAAGCCATACCCAATTTATACGAGGAGCAAAGAAGAATAAGGGCTTGCTTGTCAATGGTGAGCCCACCAAGAATGATGGCTGGACTCTGAATTCAGAGGTCACATCAAGAACCAAAACTGACCTTACATCTCAGAGTTCCCAAATGCTCTATTGTTCTTTTGTTTAAAATGCATAGTTTTTATTTTCATGCGAGGAACCCAGTGCTCTGAATGTCCCTAAATAAGGTACAGACAATCAATGATAGCACACAAATGAGCACAATGTAACTAACTGTTCTAAGCACCTTCTCAACTATCCTAAACTTGGACCAGGAATCTCTATAGCTGTTAAAAGATTCAGCTAAACTCCATTCTAGATACATCTGAGTTGTAACAGGACGTAAGACATGTATGTACACATTGTTCTACCAAGTGTGGGGGATCCAATCTGTTGTAGGGAAGAATAAAAACATAAGAAAGCAGAAAGTCTATCACTAAGAATGCCAAATATTACTCAACAAAAATATTAATTCATGCATACACACACATACATGCATGCATACACACATACATACATATGAAACTATATTAAGAACATTGCACTGACTTGTCATGCTGTTTAAATCACTTAGACAAATATATATAAAGCTAATATATATATATATATATATACACACAAATATATGTAAAATTAGAGTAATTGTAATGATGTTCTAGTCATCAGATCATACTGACTCTCATGGGTAAGATAAATCAACTCAAGTCTGGCACGCCAAGGGATTGGGATGGATCAACATTAGTACTGAACAGTTAGGAATGAATCACATTGTGTTGCTGCACTCTGCTTGAATTTTGGTCACTTCTTGTGAGTCTCATCTCATTGATTTTCCTATTTTATATAAGGGCCTTCTCATAAGAATGTATATGTGATATAAGATTTTATTCTTCAAAATATTATTCTTCCTAAGTTTCAAACTCAGTATGTAAAACTTCTTCAGGAATTGTATGATGTAACATCATCACATGCCCCATTAGTACATCGACCTTAAAAATAATGCGAATTATTGCATCAAAAAGTGAAACTCTCTAAAGCCCACATTGTCCACTGGAAATTTTTGTTGTAATGCTATTTTTTTTTCTTGAAATATCTAATTTATTGCTCCTAGCCTCTTTTGCCCAGAACTTTCTATTCTTGCTGGTTCAGGACAACAAACTAAATTGACTTTCTGTCTATATTTTAGGTCATGTTAATTTGGGGGTTCATCCTACCTTGTTTCTTGAAAGCCTGCATTGAGGGTTTAGCTATTTTTCTGCTTATCCACTCACTTTGCCCATTTGAGGGATATTACTCAGTTTGTAGCTTCAAAAGTTAAAATTATGTCACCGAGGGCTTCACATCATTATCTTTAGCCCAGATTTCTTCTAACATTTTTACACTCATAGTTTTGCCTGACTAGTCTGTATCTCTATTGCATGCCTCACAGATATGTCATAGTTCCATCCACTTTCTCATAAAATACTTGTGTTTCATTATCTTAGTGAATACTGTCATTATGCAAAGAGATGCTTTATGCTTTTTTTTGCCTGGGTAAAATATTGCAGAAAAGAGATAACCAGATCCGACAACCCCTCCCCACAAAACCCTCCCCCCAAAATTTAATTCATTTCTTTTGACAGTACTTTTCTTTCATAACGTCCACATACCTTGACTCTGTGTTTTAAATATTTCTTCAATTCTATCGAGTACTTCCTTTCATTACTCTACTCTGCCTTGTTTTAGACATCAGCATTTCCTTTTTTCTCCATTTTCCTCCTAAATTTTTTGGGGGGTATTGAATTATTGGGGGTGAATTAAATCTGGCTCTGTGCCTCTAACCTTATTCTCTCTGTGCTCACAACCATATATTTTCCACACTACAGCAAAAATATTGTAAATTATATGTGAGTACACTATCCTTTGATTAATGTGGCCTTCAATATTAGGTTTGAGTGTCTTACTTTTGTTAAGAGGTCATTCTGGTTGTATCTCAACAATTATACCTCCTTCTCCCTTTGCTTTGCATCTTCCAAAGTAGAAGTCAAATAAAACATCTTATGAGTCCTAAAATGTGTATCCTTAACTCTTACACATTTATCATCCACTGTTTCTGCACAGAGTGATCTTGTTGAGTTTTTTTTTGTTTTGTTTTGTTTTGTTTGTTTGTTTTTGATTTTTCATTTAGATAGCCCATCTCTGGGCTTCAGCCTCATCTGGTGAGCCTGCCTTCTGACTTTTATTCTGGAAGACTTTGCTGTCACCCTCTATTGATATCTCCCCAGTCTATAAATTTCTGGTGGGTGAAGGACCACCTTCTATATTGTCACAGATTCAGTGAAAGCCAGAATACTTCTCCAACAGACCCTGGATTATACAACATTTAGGTAACTTTCCTATTTTCTTAACCAATGAATCCTGTGCTTGGAATATGCTAGGTGCTCAACCAGTGTTTGAAAAATAAAATACTAAGAACTTCAGTTTTATACCTATTCTTCACACTTAAATATGTCCCACTGATGCACCCCCCCCCCAAAAGATCAGGTATCTATTTTGCCCATAAACATCTGGCTTTTTTCTAGTCCCTACTTCACATGACCTGTCAGATTTACATGACCCCAACTGGATGGCATTCCCTACATATGGAATTGGCATAGGGGGATGGGAGGGGAGGGTGGTTAGGGAGCATGTGAGAGGGCAGAGAGGGTAAAAGGGAGGGAAGGAGGGAAGGAGGGATAGGGAACTGGGATCGACATGTAAAATAATAAATTAAATTAAAAAATGCTTTGACTCCAAAATTTAAGTTCAAGGCCAAGTTACTGGGGAAAAGAATTTCTATTTTTGTTTCCACAGAAAATGAAAAGCTGTGGATTCCTTCCAGACTAATGTGGTTTGATCAAGCCAGACCACCAGAAACAGAGTACCAGGTGATTCTACATTCAAAACAGCTGGACAAAGCAGCCTTGCAGACTACAGCCAGGATTGCTGCACCTTCTTAGAATCCCCCATGACAGCACCCCTTACCAGCAGGAAGTAGTTTGGAAAGAATGATGCCCAAATTCCCAAATATTGTCTATAAATGTTTGTTTTCATTTAAATGGACTTAGTTATATAAAATAAATAAAAAAATCTGGCTTTTTGAAGTATTTCTTTAGCTACACCTATAGCCATTTATTTCACCATTAACTTTTTTGACTGTTGGTTTTAACACTTGGGGCAGTTGTTTGCCTGTTGAAATGCATCTCACTGTGTCCTCTTTCTAAGGCTCCCAGTGCTGGGTTTACACTTCGGTACACCATGCTTCAATGATTATTCATGAACAAAACCAATTTGCCATGGCAGATCAGTGTGTATTTTCTGAATGTGGGAATCAGAAGGACTTGGTGTCTA